TCCATGTATGCATTGATTTGCAGGGCTTTTTTAAAAAAAAAAATCCTCTCAAAATATGTACTTAAATACACATTTCTTCTCAAAATAGATTCAAAATGTACATTTTCCTTCAAAATACACATTTAAATTTCATTAACAGCATTGCAACATTTGGAGAAGTGTGAAATCTAACAGAAAGCCAAGCTCCGCTTTGCACAATATTTAAAGAAGGGCGGGTTGAGTCATTTCATACAGGAATTCGTAAAGATCAATTCCCTTAAGATATAACAGGAAGAAGACAGAAAAACATTGTGGCTGCCTGTGCCCATGATTGGCTGTTAAGTTGGAAATGCAACTGGATTCTTTAGCAATGGATCTGCTGACATATTGTTCCTTTCCTCTGAAAAGAAAGGAAGTCTATTTTACTTGACAATACTTCTTTTATCTATCCATTCTCATAAGTAAAATGGGTGACCTCCATTCCTGTGCGGACCTATTATTCTCTAGGGCAGGAGTGTGTAGTTGGAATTTGCAAACAATCTCACATTTGAGATGAAGATTTTCCCATCTGATATTATAACAGATCGTGGGGCATCTTCAAATCATACATTTTTTTTAGAGTCAAAAGTGATCATCTAATAGTTCCTTTTTGTGTGCAAGTACTACAGCATTCTTGACAGATGGCTGTTCATTCCTTCCTTCAGACCTTTAATGGGAAACCATACATTCTGAAGACATCTCATAGTCCACAGGAAATTTCTCCCCAAATCTGCTTCCTTGTACAGGAAGTCCTTGCTTAACGACCACAATAGGGACCAGAAAATTCATTGTTAAGCTGGGTGGTTGTTAAGTGAGTCACACTCGATTTTACGACCTTTTTCGCAACAGTCATTAAGTGAATCACCTCAGCCATTAAGCGAATCACATGGTCATTAAGCGAATCATGCAGTTCCCCATTGATTTTGCTTGCCAGAAGCCAGCTGGGAAGGTTGCAAATGGCAATCACGTGACCCCGGGATGCTGCAACTGTCAGTACAAGCTGGTTGCCAAGTGCCTGGATTGCGATCACATGACCACAGGAGTGCTACAACAGTTGTAAGTGCAAGGACCAGTTGTAAGTCCATTTGTTCAACGCCACTGTAACTTTGAACAATTGCTAAACAAATGGTCGTTAAGTGAGGACTACCTGTAATTTAATCTCATTGGTGATAATACTGCTCTGTCTTTTATAAGGCAGCCATTCGTATATTTGAAGTCTGTCATATCTTTTATAGTATACTATTTAGTATTTTTATTTGGTATGCATTTATATATAAATGAAGTGCAAGACCTGTTTTTGATATCTCTTGTTGATTTTCTTTTCTCCAGGCTAAATTTAGGCAATTCTTTCAACCATTCCTCATAGGACTTTTCAAATCCCTCTTTCATTCTGGTGAACATCATCTCCTTTTGGTCAATGCCTTTCTTAAAATGGGATGACCAGGGCTTCATTATTTGCCTGGTGTATTTTCAAATCCCAAACTGCTTCATCTCCTGTACTCTGAACAGTTTCCAAACAGGAAAATTCTTATTTCTGCTTTGTGTCTACCTTCATCCCAAATCTTGCTCTACCTTCTTATATGCATCTGTCCTTTTCGGCTGAGGGACTGGCATTCTAACAGATACACTTAAATCTTAAAGTACTTTTTCTCTAAAGTTAAAAAACCTTGAGCATAATAGATAATCCATATAGGGTGTGTGTATGTATGCAGATGGCAGTTGCTTTCTTAAAAGAGGCATTTTCTTGATAATAGCTGAAGAAACAAGAATGTTTCTTGCAAAGCAGTGTTGCTCATATTATTTAAAAGCAAAGCGTGTACTTTCCTTTTAGAACTATTTCCTCTTGTATGCAGAATTGTATGTGTCAAGGCAACTGGTCACACAAATATATTCATAGACTCTCCCCCCCCCCCTCCTACACACACAGAATCAATCCTCATATCATTGACTAAACTTGATGACATCCTTTAGGAAAACTTTTCAACAGAGAGTAGCAATTGAGCCATCCTTTGTGGATCTGACATCTACTGTCACTTTGCAATTTAGAAAAATACAGCAGAGGCTGTGGGGACACTTAATGTACTCACAGCTGCCATCATGGACTATGCTGGCTGGGGATAATGGGGACTGGTGTCCAATAATATATGGAAGGAAGAACAAGTTCCTCAATCTTTTATACTGGAAGTTGCGCCTATAAAACAGGTTTGATTTGACCAGCTAAAGAGTTCCCCTCTCTTTATGCCATAAGTCACTCCATGGTAAAAGAGAGGAGTGTAGAAAAGACCAAGTTGAGGACTGGAATATTCTCTCTCAGACTTCAGGTTAAGTCACAGGGGAATAATTGACTCATTTAGAAGCTCTTAAGGTCAGGAAACTTTCGAGTCAGGAAATATAAGCTCTGATAACACCTCTCAAAATAGCTGCTCAGGTGATGCTATAATGAAAGCAATAGATTCTGTGTTCAAAAACTGATATATTGCCCATGGAATGATGTCAGTGTTCTGAGTATGAACAGTAACATAAACAGTAGCTTTTAAAATACACTCACAAGTTAAATGAGTACATATCTCTTCCTCTGTGTTGGACCATATCCCATTTGTAAAGTTAAATACTTCTACTTTATAGATCACTTCTTGAACAACAGACAGGTTGATAGTTACACTATTTAGTTGGTTATTTCATTGGTGATTTTTAACTGCCTTAAAAAACAATCACATGGAAACACAGATATAATGTATTTAGCAATTCCTATTCTTGGGAAGGGAACAAAGTAGAATTATCTCTAACTTCTGGAAAACCCATTTGAACCACCTTCTGAATTTGGAAAAGTATTTCCAAGTATACCAACTGTTTAGAGTATACCAACCATCAGGGCCAAGACTTCTCCTTCTCTATTTTCACAATGAAAGATGTGACTTTCAGCAAGCTGAATATTTCACTGAGCTCCCATATTCTGTACTTATATGAAATTGTGCCACAAGCATAGCCTTTTTAGTGCTCTAGCTGTAAAAACTCTGCAAAAGCACAAATGGCAGCTCTCTTTGCTTTAAACACAAGACACCACATGTTGCTATTCCATTAATCAACCTTAATCTTCACATTAAGGAGGAGGAGGGAGAAGAAAAAGAACAGCCCTTATGTTTCAGCCTAAGGTTTCCATCTGTTCTACCTTCCAATAATTCCATTCTGCTCAGATACTTGAATCTGGCACAACTGCAGGTTTTATCTGGGCCCTTGATGACTGCCTCTTAACTATGCTGAACCAATTCCATTCTTGTTCTTCCACACTGGCTTCATACAGGGGACGTGGTGGTGTAGTGGCTTAATGAGACTGGAGTTGCCGGCCAGAAATGGTTGACCCTCCAGCAGTTTGAGCCCAGCTCCATGTGACGGGGTGAGCTGCTGTCATTCATCCCTAGCACCTGCCCAACTAGCAGTTCAAAAGCACACCATCTGCGAGTAGATAAATACGCACTCCGATTTCAGTGGGAGGAAACGCTGGCAGCACTTTGCATGGGGGACAGGAACCGGTTGCTGGACCCACCTAGACACGATCAGCAGAAGACGCGACGCGATCAACAGAAGACCGGTGGAGGAAGAAAGCCCGGATGATCCGACTCCCCTATGACTGCTGCTGGCCAAGTTCAGTTAGTGTAATTGTTAATATGTAATTGTTGGTATATAAATAACATTGTAAGCCATTCAGAGTCACTTGTAAATGCAAGATGAGCGGCCATATAAATATGATGTTGTAATAATAATAATAATAATAATAATAATAATAATAATAATACATATCCACAGGTGTCAAGTAATGAAACATGCAGTATGTTACAACACAAACCCTATGACTTACATACTTGCATCTGACATTGGGATGCTATAACAAAGGATAGGGTTCATGTCATGAAGCCACCACAATGATCATTGTGCTTAGCTGCAGATGTCTAGGATTGACCCCTCAAACTTTCTTGAAGCACATAGGGAAAGTCATGTCTAAATCTCCTCAAAGGCACCAGCGCTAGCTGTATGCAAAAACTAATATTTTTTTTAAAAAAGGTCAGTGCTTGCTCCATCATCTAAGATGTTTATCCACTTAGTTCCTGCAAAGAACTTTCTACCCAATCACCCATTTGGGATTACATGTATTAACAGCTTATTTTATTATACACATCCATCCTCCCTTTGAATTTTTCCACACCTCTTCTTTCATCCCTTTGCGCTACTATCTCTGGCCAGTGCTTTTGGATAGATGTCATTTGGCTTTCCCCAGAATTCATTGTGGAAGAAAAAGCTTTAATGTCCCCCCCACCCCACAAAAAAAGAAGAGACTGCATCCAAAATGGCAGCTCTCACTGATGGCCATCATCCTTCCTTTCTCTCCTTCCCAAAAAGTTCTGAGGTGTGACATTTGGGCATTCTGGAGAAAAAAACAGAAAATACCAGCTGGTAGTTGCATCAAATAGTATAAGCTACTATGTCATTCCTAAACAGTATTGGCATCCCAGTTCATACTCATGCCTCCCTTTTCCCATTTTTTTTCAGAAGGAATGCATAATCTTTATATCTATTCAGTGTGCCAACAGACCTTCTTTCCTTGGCTAATTCAATCAATATCCTGGCCTAGAAGGATCTTCTTTCTTCATTGCATCTATCAACACAGTGACTAATGCTCTTCATTGACAGGACTAAAAGTAATTTGGAAAAAAGATTCATTGCTCAAAGTCCAGCAATGATTTCATGGGAAAGGGGATCAAAAGCATCAAAATGATGGTGTGACCAGGCAACTGAAGCCCCTTCCCTTTTTTAATGTGCATTGAATGCATCTCATGCACCAAAAAGGGGCAGAACTTCAATCACCCCAGTCACACCTGCCATTTCGATGCTGTTTACTTCCTTGTCAAGGCTCTAGCTGAAGCCCACTGATTTACATCAGTGTGATGCATTTCAAAAAGGATAAAAAGGCACATTAGCAACTCTGCTTTTTTTTTTTTTTACTTTTGCACATGCACTTGTCTGCATCATGCAGCCTGAAAGTTGGAGGCTTTGGGTATTTTAAGTGAAATTGCCAGAATGTTTTGAATAGGCTGGTCATCCAGGTTTAGCAAAAATTTGCTTAACCTGGCTGGAGTATCGCTGGCTCTTTAAATAAATGAGTGGAGCACCACAATTTTCATGCAAAACACATCCAGTGCTCTGATGCTATTCTGCATTAAATACTCCTCTATTAATTATCTCAACAGAATCTTACACCAAGAGGGGGAGGTGAGGGAATAAACTGATTAGCTTGGCCGATGGAGCAAAGGAAAGGAACAGGTTCCAAGGTCTTGGACTCTTATAGAAACATATCTGCCTATCCTTCACGTTCTTATACTGGCATCTTTCAACACTGACTCCTGTAAATTCTGACTCCAAGCAAAGCTGCACAAAGGTACAGAACTACCTCTTCCAGAAAACTCAACCAGCTCATCTTTCCCAAGCAAAATGTCTTCCCACCACATTAGTCATAAGTGCAGAAAACAGCTATTTGCCACCACTTTTAATTCCAAAGCTGCCACCAACATACACACAAAGGTCTACACTTGACTCTGAAAGAGAATTATCTGGATTGATAGGGACCTTTTCTTTCCCACTCCTGCCCCCTTGCTTAATAATTCTTGTGAACAGACTAACTGGGAAGATTCTCTTCTGGCTTACATGCTTGCTGGTGATCTCAGAAGCCTACAGGTGCGCACGAGTTCTTCTGGCTAAGATGTTGAAGGGGCTGAGTTATTGAGAACGTTTAATGGGTAGGTAGCCCTACTGAAAAGATGCCCGAGGAGGGCCGCAGGCCTGATGCCAGTATTCTGAAAAGTAAGGCTCTTCCAAAGCTTGCACAGTTGGGAACAAAATACCCAGGTTTATGGTCATCGTGGTTATTAAGAAAATCAGGACACCTTAACTTGAGAGCAAGACACATATGTGCTTTCTCCCTGTTAGATGACTGGGGTTCTGTTCTGTTTTTTACAGGCAGGGTTCCTGCCACATAGCAATTTAGAAACTCTCTTTGGAGGCAGGCACTCATTTGGAAACAAGAAACATAGGGTTATAAAGAGAGAATGAAAACTGTACAAGTCCAGTGAGCGCTTTAGTCCAACGTGGTTTCCCAAAGAATGACAACTGCAAGCTGATCTTTTCTGCCAGAAAGCACCTTAGCTTTCAGAACACATTCCATTGCTTCCTCTACTCTCCTGTTGCCATGTTGACAGGTGCTGGATTTTGCTTGTTCTCTGCTGTCTGTAGTGAAGGGTTCTTTCCAGCCGGTGACTCTTAGCATCACAAGGAGACCCACTGGGGTGCCCATTCTGCACACCAGTATCCATATACATAGAAATGACACGCAGGTATCAAATTCATGGCTGGCATATGCACAACACTGTGTACGTGGGTTGAGTTCGTATAGGCTCTGCTCTGCTGGCAACTAAAGAAGCAGGAGGAGGATAGGGACAAAAATGAAGGTAGAGGATGAACAACATGGTCCTTCTATCTTGCCTTTTTCATTTCTATTCCATTGCATTGTTTTGTTTCTCTTGCTCGCTCTTATTCAAAAAAGTCTGGGTGCAAAATGCAGGTTTGGCCCAAACCCAATACAAACACTTGCCTTTGGGGTGCTTTGACAAGATGCTATCTGGTCTCCAGTGAATCCAGGTATTCCAGGGCTATGTCATAGCAGAAGTGGTACTGTTCCTTTAAGGAAAGGGAAAACGAAAGAGTGAGTATGTGCAAATTTTATCTTGCTAAAGATGTTGTACAAAGGGGAAAAGATCTGCTGGGTGGAAAATTAGAGATAACCTTGGAAACGGAATGAGACTGTTAACAAAATACGATTTAAGCCCAGGAAAAGAAGGGACTATTAGAAAAACACTTAAACTGGTTTGTCCTTAATTCTCTTTGGTATAAGAGTTAATAATTATCCCTGTGCCCCATGGAATAATTTTGGCTCCTACGCTACTGCTGGTACTGTGGTTGGAGTTCCTATAATGGGACAATGTTAACATCTGCAGAGGACCCTTCTTATTAAGCCACAGTGGGGAGAGCCATGTTATTTGGGATTATGGGGGAGGAATGGCTTTGTTGTGGGACCCAGGCTTGGAATACCCTTCCACTGGAAGCCAGGCTAGAGCTGACATTATTTGACTTTGGGCACCTGATTTCTGTCCTCTTGCTGTTGGGACATACCATCTACAACCTATCTTTTTTCCTCTACTAAGTGGCTCTTGGTTAACATTGTTTGTTATTCTGTATTTTAGCTACCTACTTATTGTATTTGGTTGTATCGATTGTAACCCATCACAAGATCCCTTGTGTAGTGAGTTGATATAAATACCTTTAATAAAATAGTAACATAATAAATAAAAACAGCTGCTGGACAATGACCCTTGGAGAAGTTTATTTAACCTAGGTTGTGGTCTTAATTTGAGAACCCTGGATGGCCATTATGGGAAATGATAATTCAATATGGTACCTGCAGATACCATGGCATGTCCCTTCCCTCAGTTAATTAATTTTTAATTCAAATTAAATATGAAAATGTTTTTAAAAGGCTGAAACTTCGTGTGAGATTTCAGCATTGTTACATGTCATCTCAGGATGAACTTGCCAAAATCTTACAAGATTTACAGCCCAGGAACATAAGATTGCATAATGACACTGGAGGCCTGACGAGATTGGTGACCCTTGCGATAAGCCTTTGGTTGATCCAGAAGGATGACTTTTTGCTTTTGCAGTCCAAAAGAGAGATGACTCACTACCTACTTGTCAGAAAGCCTAAATTAAGTTTCAGCTTTTGTATAGGAACAACCATTTCATGAAAATCCTTTTATGTCTTGTTCCAAAAGACAGGGCAGCTGTTTTCAGCTGTTGCAACTAAGTTCTGAAGATAATGAGATACTGTCTAGGAAGAATTAAGTTATAGCAGAATGGCTCCAATGATAAGGTCACTGTGACAAAGACATACAATTGTTCAAGCTAGTCCCTGGAAATTCCAAAAAGATTCTATTGCACAAAGTGATCTAAAGATGCAATGAATCCTTTACTCAAAATCTGATCATGTCTTTGGGGGAGGGGAAGAAAAATAAATAGTTCGGGAAGTACTGCTTTATTCCAGTTAGGAAAACAGAACAAAATCAGAGTCCTGGACCATCTGATTTTAAGAGCAAGAATGATGTAATAGCACATTGAATTAGATTGGGGGAAACTGTGTTCAGTGTAATCCAGAAGTATGGAAGAAAGACATTCAATGTTACATAACATGTTACAACATAACTCACAATTCACAAACTATTATATGGGTTGGGAACACAATTATCTTTTCATTTTCGCACTTCTCTGAATTTTGTAATACAGCTCTCCAATTCATGTAAAATGCATTCATTTCTCACACAAAAAAGAGAAAATATGCCAGATAAGACAATATACAAAATTGTGTAGTAGAAGAAAGCCTACACTAATATATGCAAACTGATATTGAAACCAGTTTGATGTAGCAGGTTTATCTTTATAAAAAAAAAAGAATTAGAAACTTGGAGAAAGTAAAGCTGGCAGATCTTTTACCTCTAATCTAACCTCAGGGCTTTTATGTCCCATTTTATTCAACAGAATAGTTGTGAGGATAAAACTGAGGGGAGAGAAACACTTATATTATTCTGACCTACTTGGAGGGAATAGCAATATAAATGTAGCCATAAATAATATAAATAACCTTATTCCCATTATCCTTTCCACTCACACTGGCTAGGAAAGCATAACAGATGTGAATGTTTACTAAGCACTAGCTACAGTCCTATACACACCCTACCAATGAGTGTGTGTGTGTGTGCGTGTGTGTGCGCGCGCGCATGCATGCACATGCCTCTGAGTTAATTTTGACTCCTGGTAACCACATAGACAAGTCCGTGCAGTTTTATTGACAAGATTTTCAGAAGCGGTTTGCCACTGCCTCCTTCCTAGGGCTGAGAGAGAGTGACCAGCCCAAGGTCACCCAGCTGGCTAAGGTGGGACCAGAACTCTCAGTCTCTGGGTGTCTAGCCTGGTGCCTTTGACTACTACACCAAACTGGCTGGAAAAATATATGCAGTCATGATTGCTTACTGAGCACTAGCCACAGGCTTATCATGCTCTACGGGGAGTAAATTCCATTAGATCTAGCGGTACTTCCCAAGTAAACATAAAAGTAATTTTAACAAAGAATCTGTTACATCTTTCATTAACCTAACAGTACAAACATGTTTGCCTGTGTAATCAAAAGAGCAGCAAGTTCCAGAACTTGGTTGATAATGTATGGACTTAGAAGCTAAGCAAGGTCAGAATTGGTTAGTACTTGCCCAGAGCTAAAGACTAAACTGAGAAGTCAAAAAAATAAAATCTTGGAAAAATGACATGATTGCCAAGAAAACTATATGTATAAATTTATGAGGTCATCAAGAGTGAAAACATGGCTCTTCCAGAGGGCTACCTGAAACAATGTGGAAGACCATGCCAATTCCACATTGTAGGTGCACTGGGCTGAATATTAGTTGTTTTTGATGTTGTTAGTTTTATCTTTGATTGTTGGAAGCCTCCCAAGAGTTTCCAGATTAGAGTGTCATGTTACATGCAGTCAGTAGTCAAGCTCAACTTGAAGGAGATGCTATTTTTTACATTACCAAATGCTAATTTTTTTAAAAAAAAA